TCGGAGGTAATCTTGTTACTTGGTGCAACAAGAAACAAAATGTAGTAGCAAGAAATAGTGTAGAAGCTGAGTTTAGAGCTCTCGCCCATGGAATTTGTGAAGTTATGTGGATCAGAAGACTTCTTGATGATTTGAAGGTCAGTATCTTCTCCTATGAGAGTCTACTGCGACAATAAGGCAGCCATCTCAATCGCTCACAATCCAGTTCTCCATGACAGAACCAAACATGTAGAAGTTGACCAACATTTTATCAAGGAGAAACTCGAATGTGGCATGATTTGTATTCCATATGTATCTACTACTGAACAAGTTGCAGACATTCTCACCAAAGGATTATACAAGAGATATATTGAAGATTTAAGAAGCAAGGTAGCTATGGAAGATATCCACCAGCCAGCTTGAGGGGGAGTGTTGAAATAGAGGATATTTACTTTAATAGTACCGGATTCTCGGAGATATGATAGGAATGTAATTAGGGATAGTCAATGACTAAGGATCCGGAAAGGATATTAGTGTACAGCTATTAGTTTCCTAGTTTAGCTCCTTGTATTTTTTCTATTTAAACTAATGTACTGTAATACAGAAAAGATATAACAATAAACTTTTCTTCCTTCCATTACCTGTGTGCGCCTATTCACCTCGTCACCCTTGTCCAATCTTCTGATCAGTGATGCACAGTCCCCGTCTCGTCGCTGATCCTGACGAATCTCCTCCCAATTCATGATCTGAGGAATAGAAAGTGCGACCAAGCCCAAGTCTGTGTCCTCCCCGTGCCGAGACAAGGCATCGACTACGCGATTCGAGGCGCCCTACATATACTGCAACTCAAAGTCGTATCCGAAAAGTTTAATGGCCAAGTGAAGGTGCTCCGGGGGTAAGAGCCGCTGATCCATCAGGAACCGCAGACTCTGCTGATCGGTTCGCACCACAAAGTGTCTTCCAAGCAAGTAATGGCTCCATTTTTGTAAAGCAAGTAATGGCTCCATTTCTGTACGGCCAAGACAACTGCCATGAGCTCGCGTTCATAAACCGAACGAAACCGTGTGGTGCCTGATAGCGCCTTACTGAAATAGGCGATGGGCCTACCTTGTTGCATCAACACCGCTCCTAAGCCCAAGCCTGAGGTGTATGTTTCGACCACGAATGGTTTCCCGAAATCTGGCATGGCGTCTGTGGCCTCCTTGGTCCACTTGAACTCTCCTCGTTTGAGTAAGTCAGTCAATGGTCGTGCCAAATGCCCGAAATTACGAACGAACCGCCGATAATATCCAGCGAAGCCCAGAAACCCCCGAACCCCACGGACATTTTTAGGTGTGGGCCACGATAATATAGCTTCCACTTTGGCCGGATCAGCCGCTACCCCGGCTACAGAGATAACATGTCACAAGTATTCTAGCCGCTGTTGCCCGAATGAGCACTTCTTCTGGTTTGCAAACAACCGTTCCCTCCTCAAGACCTCTAAGACCGTGGCGAGATGCTCTTCCCAAGTTCGGCTATAGACCAATATATTGTCGAAGAAGACCAAAACAAACCGGCGCACGTAAGGCTGGGAAACCTTATTCATGAGGGCCTAAAACGTGGCGGGAGCATTAGTCAGACCAAACGGCATGACCAAGAATTCATAATGCCCTTCGTGTGTGCGAAATGCGGTTTTCTGCACATCAAATTCCCTAACCCGAATTTGATGGTATCCTGCCCTTAGGTCCAGTTTAGAGAACACGACAACCCCGTGCAATTCGTCTAGCAGCTTGTCGATAATGGGAATTGGACATTTGTCTGGCACCGTGAGCTAGTTGAGAGCTCAGTAGTCGACGCAAAAACGCCAACTCTCGTCCTTTTTCCTAACCAACAGAACCGGGCTCGAAAAAGGGCTACTACTCGGCCTAATAATCCCCGAGGCCAACATCTCCGCTACAAGCTTCTCAATCTCACTCTTCTCTGCTAGTGGATATCTGTACGGCCTGATGTTAGGCGGTTCCGCCTCTGGTTTGAGAGTGATTTGGTGATCCCGGCCTCGTGTAGGTGGCAACCCCGCGGGTGCCTCGAACACTTCAGAACACCGGGCCAAAACCCCCTGAACAACTTCTGGCTCACTGGCCCCTTGTTTGTCTCCCTCCCCTCCTTCGAGCGCATAAATCTCCAGCAAAGCCCCTACCACTTCTCTATGGAACTTACGAGTAAGGGTACGTAGGCTCACTGGTTCCAAACTCAGGGTCGGGTCCCCCTTCAGGCAGGTCCACCCCTCCTCCGTTTTGAACTTCATCATGAACTTTTGCCAATTAACTCTTACCTCCCCCAACGTTCGCAACCAAGACACCCCCAGTACCACCTCAGCGCATCCCAACTCAAAAGGAACAAAGTCTTCAGTAACTCTGTATCCCTGGATTCTCAGGTCCACCCCCTTGCACACACCCTGTTGTCTGAAACAAGCGTCGTTGCCCACCTAGATGCCATAACCCCCCGTGGCTGTCAAAGGAATGTGAATCTCCCTCATGACCTTTTGTGACAAGAAATTGTGCGAAGCTCCGCTGTTGACTAACACCACCACCTCACGGTCTCCCAGAGTTCCCATTAATTTCATGGTATTGAAGGAAGTAATCCCCATCAGCGAATTGAGAGAGAGGCCCGCCACTCCCTTGATCTCCTCTGTCGTAGGTTCCTCTGCCACCACCAACTCCTCGTCCCCGTCATCTTCCTCATCAGCCAACAAGAGCACCTGCAATTACCGATTCTTACACCGGTGACCCGGACCGAATTTATCATCACACCTAAAGCACATGCCCTTAGCTTTCCGCCGTTGGATCTCCTCCTCGATAAGACGTTTGAAGCCAACTCCTCCTCCCTCTGAAGTTCCTGTTGGCTGCGGTGGCCATACCCGAGCTCTTTGGGAAGGAACCTGCTCCTTCCCTTGGTTGGACTGAAGGGAGTTCCCAGAGAACCTTGATGGTGGGTAGGCTCGTTCACTAACGCCCAGATCTTTTCCCAGCCTCTCCGACCCCCACCCTCGGCCCAGCCTCCCCTTCCTAAGTCTCTCTATGGCCTCATTCCATTCCTCAATCTGTTGGGCCAAGTCCATCGCCTCTTGGAGGTTAATGGGCCGGTGTAGCTTAACCTCAGCCCTCACATCTTCACGAAGCCCATTAAGGAAAGCCCCCCTAAAGATGGGTTCAGAAATCCCTCGCATTGAAGCCGCCACGGCTTCAAACCGATCACGGACCTCTGTCACCGAGCTGTCCTGCCACAGTGCCATTAGCCGCTCCGTCGGGTCGCCGTCCTTCGCGCGGCTGAATCGGTGGAGAATCACCGCCTTCAAATCTTGCCGTCTAACCACTGAAACTAGCCGAGAGCCGTGCCAGTACCTTCTCTTCCTCCTCGACCCCATTAATGGCGAAATAGCGTTCCGCCCGGAACACCCAGCCATATGGATCTTCCCCTTGGAAAATCGGCAGCTCGAGTCGTCTTCCCTAGTGGTCCATCCTTCCGCGGCCCCGATTTGGCGAATTGGGCAGCCCCTGCCAATCCCGATCCCGCCCCTGCCGCTGGGGTACTGGTGGTTGGGTCTCTAGGTGGCGACCGATCAAAGTCTCCAGTCGGTGAAGGGCCCCTTGAACGTCGCCAATCTGGGTCCCTACAGCCAAGACATCCTCCTGCAATTGAGGTACATGATCCACGATAGCCCCCATCAGTTGAACGGTCTCTCTTATTGACTCGAGGCTTCCTTCCAAGCTAGAGACGCGTCCCAGGTTGCTCGCCGCCGGCGAAATATGAGCCATGGATCATCGGCTCTGATACCAAAATGTTAGGATCCTAGTTGTTTAGCTAAGATTTTCCAACAATTCCGATAGACTGAAATCCAACTGATAGCCTTTTATTGAATTAAATCACTTAACAAACAGCCAAGAGCTCGATGGAAGCTCTGGTATTCAACAATGAAGGACAAAGAAACAAAATACAAGAAAATTATGATAGAGAAGGATTTTCGAGGAAACCTCAACCTCCCAGCTAGCAGCTTATCCACCAGAATCACGATACCCCTTACAACCTCCATACTCCCCTAATATTCTCCCATGCTCTAACCGTCCCCCCACGTCAGCAGCTCCCATGTTAGACCATTCTCGGATCCCCAGGTGGACTTCCCACCTCCTTAGCCTAACCCACTTCATTTAGGTCCAGGCCCACAACATTACCCCTCTTGGCCCTTCTCACATAGACTTTCCTTACCGGGGGCCTAACAGCTACAGTGTTTTTCTCTCACAAAAAATTTGAATTTCAAACGTTAGAATCAAGAATCATGGTCTGAATATACCTTCCAAACGGTCCCTATGTAAATTTTGAATTATTATTAGATATTTTTTTAATTTAAAATTATGTTGATTAGATTGAGATTATTCACATTTAGGTGTTGGGATTTTAGGGAGGTAGTTATCCTTATAATATCTATTTTAGTTGAATCAACAAATCTTATGAATTTATCATCTTTTTTCTATTTTTATAACGTTTCCGCTACATCAGTCTCAAAGTAAGGTTGTTGAGCAATTACTAAACAAATACTTCCCAAGTGGAACTAGAATTGATTTAGATACGAACCGAAAAAACTGATCGATCAGCCTCAAGGTTTCCTTCTAATTGAATCCACGCTTAAATTTAGTTTTCATTCCTTGTGGGCTCCTTTCTTAACACTCAGCTAATAACTTGATAGTGGAACGAAAATATTTAAGAAGACGTTTGGTTCATGGATTAAAATCATGTGATTAAAACTATTTTCGATTTACGTGTATTTTTTGTGAGAGAAAATACTGTAGGGAATCATGAACCATGATTCAAATCATGGTTTGAATCCTCCAACCAAACGTCCCCCCATCTTAAATAGCAATGCTGTATTCCAGAAATAGTAGAACTTAACAACTCATTTCATTAATAAAAGAAAGATTAATATAGCATCAAAAGTAAACTCTTAATCCTTTTGCCAATAAGACAAACCAAGAAGTTCAAAAATGCACCTTTATGGTAGCTTTCCCCCTTCCTTCATGCGAATGATCAACTTTCAAGACCTATATATATATAAAACCCAAAAAAGCGCTTATACATAGCTGACAGTGGAATAAAATGAATTTTATACAAAACAACTTCAATTTTACCTCGTAAATTCGATCTGATGCAAGTATTTCCGCCATTATCATTAAACGAAATTTATTTATTTTTTGTCCAAAACAAAAAAGAAATCTTTGTCAGTATAAAGGTTTTCATCAGAACAGGAATCCAAACAAGAAACTACAATCACCTTTCTTCTCAATAACATTTCCAGCTCTCAACTGCAACAAAATCGACAAAAAATAAAATAAAATTCACACCAAAATCCCTCAGAAACACAATATCAATCGACAACTCGATCAATTGCTATCTGTTGAAGATGTTTCTCTCAACCATCTTGAAACTTCATTCGTATTGTAATTTTTCTCTTTTTAAATGAAGTTTTTGTCCTTATAAAAAAAAATCATCAAGATCACCGATCTTCTTCCTAGATAAAAAAAAAAAATCAGATCTTCTTCCTAGATAACTCACATTGGTTCCATTAACTTTCAATCCCCTTGTCGGAACGGCACGCCACGGCGACCCAATCACGCTCCTCCCGTCACGGCGCAGAGGCGATATCAGGTCTGACGACAAGCGCGAAGCAAAAGAATGAGAAGAACAGGAACGAGAGGAAGAAGATGATGATGATGATTTCAGAGAGGAGGTTAGGGTTTCGCATGGCGACGAAGTTGAAGAAGCAGAGGAGAGAGAGCGAGAGAGCTTCTTACTGATAAGCTGCGACAAGGCTCGCATTTTCTTGTACGGACGCTCCACCTTAGTGATGAGTTTCGAAACTTCGAGCAAGAGTGGCTATTTACACTCTCTATGGGGTTCACGAAGGAGAATGAATTGGGAAAGAAAAATGCTTAGGCACCGCCCGTGTTTAACAGTCATTGAATTACCGGCCGTTAATTTCGCGAATTTAAATTTTCAATTCAAGTTGAGATGTGATATTTTTTTAGAACTTTTCACTATAATAGAAAAAGTTAAATGTGACATTTTTAAAAAATTTTTTACTGTAAAAACTTAAAACTAAAAACTTGAATTTCACCGAGGCATAAAAGATTCAATATTCCTCTAAATCATGGTTCATAATTTTTTATAATATTTTTTTTAATAAAAAATTTAAATTTTAAAAATTAAAATTATAAATCATAATTTTAAATATATAAACTAAACGTTACTTAAATTTTATTGGATATATATTTTATTAGTGACTGATATTGAATATTAATTATGTCTAATAGTATTGTTTATTAGGAAAATGACTTAAAAGGAGGTCATATTTGCCATCTATCCTTTTATCACATTTTTATTATTTTTTGTATTTATTATTTAACGTGTATATTATATTATCTTATTTTTTTATTTAAATAATAATATATTATGTTAATGGAGTACACATATCAAACAATGAACGTAAAAAATAATAAAAGTAATGATAGAAAGAATGATGTTAGTAATTTTTTTATCAATGACTTTTCAAATATTTTAAAAAGGACCTTCTTTTAAAAAAGAAAGTTAAAAAAATTACTTATTATGATTAGTAATTACTAATTGAGAAAAAAAAAAAAAAAAAACTCTTCAATCCCTCAATACTCGTTAAAAAAAAAAAAAACCGGACCGTTCTGTTTTTTATAATAGGATCAGATCAGATCAGGCCAGATTGTTGGTTTAACCATGGTTTGGATCGCTTCTTGAATGTTTTGCTTTTGTTTTTAGACACTATACTACGTGTAATTCATTAAATTAAATTAGCATTTTAAAAGCATAAAAAACAAATAAAGTTAATATTTTATATTTTTAATATGTATATATTAGATGTCTCGTCCGGTTTGAACGTTAGAACTTTTCAAATCGGACAAGACTGCTTTTAAAACAGTTTGGTCCTGTTTTAGAGTGCCAACAAACGGTTATGACGTAGAACTAGGCTGACAGTTTAAACACTGTTAGATTGGTTCAATCAGAAGCCAAAATTGCATAGCCCTATCTGGCTTCTTGCCCATTAGTGTCCTTCAACCTATGCGACAATTGGTTTCACAACTAACACAAGTAAAGTATTAGATCTACACTCCTATGGCAATAGAAAACGAAAAATCATAACCACATGACTAAGTATTTAGCATAGAAAGACTTATCTTATAGATGCAAGTATTTAAATTATGAAAGCCTAACATACTAGAATAGTAGTCTTATAAAGTTTAAAATATAATGGAACTTAAATGCGGAATTAATTGTTGGTGGTATCCATAATCCCCTTGTTGACCCCATCGCTCATACTCCATCCTGCCAGCCTATCACGAGGATTTAAGTGGTGGGCTTCTTGCCCGGATTACCTACAACACGAGCAAACATGGCTGAGCTTTTGCCCAGCAAATACGAACTCAATCTCACAAAATAGATATATGACAATGCTATGCATGACCGATTATGAGTAGTTCGTTTATTGACTATACATTTTATGGGCATTGTGTACGTACCAGTTGCGCGCGACGAAACGACACTTAAATTATCTTTTCTTTTCCATAGCCTCTTATTAGGTGAGCATGAAATTATGATCATGGCTCATATTTAAAACTTAACATTTAGCTTGTAGAGGCAATAATACATCAATAAATTATTATCATGACATCTTAAATAATATACTGATAATTGCGATAGCACAACAATCAACAATCATTCAACAACATCAAACTATTCACAATCATGTGACATCAATTCTTTAAAACAAATTCCATGCTGTAGGTGAGGTCCGTACTTACCTTATCAAGCACAACCTTACTTAGCAATTCCCGCTTATTTATCTTCTTTTAGAACACTCCCTGGTGACAACACTTATTAGTCAGTAAGGGTCCCTTGGTCGATTCCTCGTTACAAGGCCTAAGTCTGTATAGTATCTTATGAGAGTTTACGCTAATTAAGTTATACTCTAATTGTTTTAATTGGTGTTGATCGTTATCGAATAATCTCCTTAAATTAAATTATTAACTGCGACTTCAATAATTAATTAATTATTAGTTATTAGTTAATTACTAACTTAACTGCTTAAACAAATTAAGTCGATAAATGATTTATGCCTAATTAATTGCCCTTCCTTCCTTAATTAATAATTAACTTAACACTAATTATTAATTAATATAAACTTATTTTATAATTAAACTCTAATTATTTATTAATCAGACCATTAATTAACTCTTAATTAATTTAAGAATTATGATTAATTAATTAATTAGTTAATTACCTAATCGAGTTACTAATGTTGTGTTTGCAATTGTTCTTATTTTTTGCTGTGTTTGGAATTGTTCTTGTTTTTATTTCTTACGTTTTTCGATAAAAAAATGAAAACGATTCTAAAACAGCGTCTGACACAATTAAAGACCAAACACGGAAATGAAAACGATTTTTTGGGTTAGTGTAAAATGAGAGAAAAATGAAAAATGACTTTTAGTCGTTTTTCATTTTTTGTTTTCATTTTCTCCTTTCTCAAGCACAGAGATAGAGAGAGAGACATTAATGGAGTTTTTTATATTGAAAACAATCTCTTGATAAAACTACCAAATGTATTTTCAAAAATGATTTATGTCTGAGATTGAAAACGTTTTCATTTCCATTTTCATACAAAAAATAAAATTATTTTGGAACGAATTCGTAATGCACCCTTTGTTTTTCACATTTTTCGAGAAAAAAAAATGAAAACGATTCTAAAATGGCATTTGGCAGAATTAAAAACAAAGAACAGAAATGAAAATGATTTTTTAGTTTAGTGTAAAATGGGAGAGAAATGAAAAACGACTTTTAGTCGTTTTTCATTTTTTGTTTTCGTTTTCTCCTCTCTCGAGCAGAGAGAGAGAGAGAGAGAGACATTAATGGAATTTTTTATACTGAAAATAATCTCTTGATAAAACTACCAAACGCACCCTAAGAGATTGAAAATGTTTTCATTTTGATTTTCATACAAAAAATAAAATTATTTTGGAACGAGTTCCAAACGCACCCTAAAAGAGTTTATTAATGTTGTGACAAGCACTAATTAACAAATTCACGTAAGTGTATCACTAGATCATTATCTAACTTAATCATTGGTTAATGTCGGAATGGTATCTTGTTGGTTTTCGAAACGTTTTCGTGGTGCGGATGCGTGGTGGTGCGGATCGTGTATAAGAAAATTTTTTCACAAAACCTTTTGAACACTCTATAGATTATATTAATTTATGCGAAAATAAATTAATCTTATTAATATATAAGAAAAGATACATTGCTAACGATTAGGAAGATAACTTGAGGTCTTTGGCCAACGAACGTTCCTTGCTCCAAAAGCTTTCTTAGAACACCTAAGTCTTCCTCGTCTACTCCTTATTTTGCAAGACGATGAGTGTGGGCTCAACGTATAACTATCGGAACGATCACTCGCTTATTTTCTATCCTTTCACTATCAATGCATGTATGTGAAAGAATTGGAAAAATTGGAAGAACTTTTCTTCTCTTTTCTCTCTTGGGAAATTCGGCCAACCTAGGGTAATTGGGAGAAAATCAATCAAACTTCTCCAATTTCTATTGTCTCATATTTATAGACAATTAGTAGAAGTCTTTGCTTGTAGACAAAGAAAAATAGAAATTGACAACTACTATATTTTTAATCTCATTAAAAACATAGTTTCCCTTTTTTCTTTTGGAAACAAAAAATTGTTGGAAAAAACGGCATTGAGTGTGCAGCAAAATTTTAAAAATTTAAATCAATGCCAAAGCCAATCAAGAACATATTCATGATGCTATATAGCATAAATACTAAAGATCTAAATCATACCTTTGGAGATTTAGGAAATAGCATGTCTGACATATCAAAGCGTTCTAAACAGCAACCGGAAGAGCCTCAACCAACTGGTGTTCTTTGCTATTCTCGTTTCCATGAATCAAAGTGCAGGTGGGCACACGTCATTCAATCTCCTCTTGGTACTCTTGAACTCCTTCCAACTACAAGAGAGCCAAAGGAAAAATTGTTCTTGAGAATTAAACAAATTTTCCTCTCAGGAATCTTTTGCCAATAGCCCCCAAAAAGTCTCTCAAGTGATCTAATGAATAATGTGACTTACTGGGCTATTTATAATGTTTAGGAAGTCATATTTCCGTAACAATTAGGTTTCTCAAAGTTTATCTCGCTTACAGAGTCGGTTTCGCCACGTCAGCATGCGCTACACGTTACAATCGATCGACCGGTGATAGAGACGTTATAACTCACCGGTCGACCGGTCTGAACACGGGAAAATCGTTTTCTTAGTTTTCCAGCACTCACTTGCACAGAGCCTCAGTTTTGATTCAAGCAACCCAATAGAGAAATTGCCAGATCAAAACAGTCATATAATAGTCTTCCCATATTAAATAACTCTTAAAACAATAATTCAACCAATTTATCTAGAATTAATTTAACAATTAATCCACCTGATAAATTACTCATGAACTAATTAACCAATCTCATATTAACTTTGAACCTCTTTTACGAAAATAACACAAGTTACCAATATGCAGGAAATACACCGTATCGTTACAGGAAATTATGTGAGCTAGCAAAGGGACCTGATGGATATATATAAATCAAGCTCCTATAATCACAACTCTACTTGTAAACCAATAAGTCCGTCTCATGATTATAAAACTCTAGCGCTACTCCACTAAAAGCCTAGAGCTGCACTCTCAATTTATATAGCGTATTTACAAAGCTCTGAATAGGTCCCGTCCATGACACAATATATTAATGTATCATCCCCATAGGATATCCATAATCGACTTGAGGTCAAGTTTCGTTTTACCTTCCCGATTACATTTATCTTATGTT